GTTGTAGCCAGCTGAAGTAGTCCATTGTAACGCTGCTTAAAGAAAGCATTAGGAGGTAAAACAAGGTGCTGCTTGTGGTTTACTTGCAACAACCACCGGAAAATAATAGTATACGTGACATTATGTTGTCATGGCAAAAGTGAAAGTATTTCTGTTTGAACATTCTCACTTTTTTTTCCTGTTGTATGAAACTTTGTCAACACTTGTTTTTGTTAGGATAACAGAATGTTCATATGCTTTAAGGGTACTCGTTCTTTCACAGAATTTTGTGATTGGTTTCTTTGAATTTTTTTGAATTTTAGTAAGATAGGATACAGTTATTCTTACTTAAAGGCATGTCATGCAGTACGTTAACAAAGCATTTCATAGGAAACTTTTATAGTCGCGATTTTACTGAAATAAGATGCTTGAGGCAGATTCAGTTTTCAACCAGATTCAGTTTTCTCATCTGGTTAGGGAAGAGGACAGGGATGGTTGTCTCCATTATGGTATGGAATGAATGTTTTGGGGGTTTTTTACTACTTAATTTGGCCTCCTCTTCATTGCAAGTGCCATGATTGGTTGAATACTTACAAAAGCAAATGAAATCTTGGTTGACAGCACGTTTTGCATAAGTGACTGCCTTGAAAGTCTCATTTCTGTACATCTGCTGCTGTCATCTGTCCTGACCTCTGCCTTTCTGACCCTGTTCTACCTGTCAGATGTACTCTACTGAAATATGTTTGCTTTTTTTTCTTCAGGAAAAGGAACCTCTCAGGGTTATACCACTTAAGGAGGTCCATAAAGTTCAGGAATGCAAACAAAGGTGAGGAGAGAAGCACTGATGCTGTTACATGGGATGTAGTTCCCTGCTGTCATGGCCAGACTGCTCATTGGAGAGCTGTTTGATCACTTCTATTGATCTGAGCAAGTAGTTTTGTGCATAAAATGGGGTTTGAGGTTCTGCATTAGTGTGTGTTCTAAACTTGTGACGTTCAGTAGAATGTAAATGTGTTGGACAAGACTGGAACAAAGGACTATCATGGAATCATGAGTTAGAGGTTCATGGGTGCTGTCTGATCCAAGGCAGCAATTTTAGGAACCTCTACTCTGCTGATATAGTCCTTAAACCTTTAGAGGACATTAACTCATGTTGGATGTCTGAATCTAGATGAGAATACTCTTCATCCTGCTGTTTCCCTCCCACCAAATGGCAATGTGCTAAGGAAAAATTGCCTTTGTAGTACTCATGATGGATATTGATTTTTATTTTTTTTAACCAGCTATTGTTTAGGACTAATTCTTAGCAAAAACAGAATAAAATATGAATTAGAAATTTCACAGAGATTTGACTAGAACACTGAGTATTTTTAAACCTAACATTATATGTTTTAGAATGTTCCAGTTAAAAATAAATTTAGTTGTGTGTGTGCCACTGATAAACTGAAGAGTGTTAAGGCTAAAAGTAGAGAAAACCAGTAGCAGAGTGATAAAGAAATGCAGAAGTCAGGCAACAAATGCTCTGATTCTCTGCCCATCCTAGAGTCCTGTTAAAACACAGTGGGAGAGTTGTGCTTTCTTTTGAAGTGTTTTTTTTGTATTTCATTTGCAGTGATATAATGATGAGAGACAATCTCTTTGAAATTGTAACAACTTCTCGAACCTTTTATGTACAGGTAATTTCTTCTTTGAAACTTCGGGCAAAACCAAGAGACTACCATAGTTAAACATAACTTTAGAAGTGAAATAGCAGCACTTAATGACTTTGACTGTGCCATGATTTTCAGAGGGAATGTGGTCTTCATTATATTTTATTCATTGTTTTATATAACTCTATACATCGAATAGTAAGTTAAGAGATGTCTGAGTTAGGAAATAGAAGTCCCCATGGCTTTCAGTAACAGACTAAAGCAGGGTTGGGCTGCCACTCTAATGCAGGACACTGGGAGAGCTGAGAGGTGGTTATGTTATACATGATTTGTGTCATTTGATCCAGGCTGACAGTCCAGAAGACATGCACAGTTGGATAAAGGCAATTTCTGGGGCCATTGTGGCACAGCGAGGACCTGGGAGATCAGCAGCTTCCGTATGTTACTCTGCACCTCAGAGAAGATGTGATTAGTTGATGTTCACTTGTCCACATTAAGCTCTGACTCGGTTTTGTTTTCCCCCTTTGCCTTTCTTCTCTCCTGTCCTGTAGTAACGTGGCACCTTTGCATGCACTTCCATACGGACTGGCATAAGATACTTGGTGTTTTTAACTGGGCACTTAGCTTAGTCCTACCTTTATGTGCGTTGTATTGTCTTGAACACGTAGGTAATGCAAGTGCTAACCTAGAAAAGTTCCTCTGAGTTCAGTATGATCTTTGTCACTACTAATAGTTTGGAAGTTAAACTGAAACTTTCTAATTCCTGCGAGGTTTTTCTGCAAATTGCTGTGTTTTGCAATCAAATGGCGATATCCTAATTCGTTTTCAACAACTCTTACTGCTAAATTGTCATTCTCTGTTAATATTGGATATGCAGAGAGAGATTGAAATTGAAAGTAACTAAGAGGTCTCTGCTCGCATGAATTAGTTCTTGCTGATGGGGATATAGTGAGAACAGCATCCAGCAGTACTGAACTGAGGCACTGTGACAAGTCTTAGTCTTTGTGAAGCCACGTGGGTGCCCACATTTTATACCTACTTGCATTTAAACCATGCTACTTGTTCAGCACAAAGTTCCTTCTGAGAAGCAGTGAAGGTTACTGTGGTGTCACAGTGTCTCCAAGTATGTCCACGTTTAGCCAGTGGAATACTTCACAGTTCAGACGTTGCACGCTGTGGTTTTCGTTCTCTGGCTGTGGGATGTTTTGTAATAAGCTGAATATATCATTACCCCCATAAACTGAAAGCTGACTATTTAAATCTGGATTTTTTTGACTACACATTTGCATTGATACTGGTAACTCAGTCTAAGCTCTCAACTACGTTTTGCAGCCAGGAGCTGCTTCATGCTTTGAAATAAAACTCCTAAATTGTTTCTGTTTGGGGGGGAATGAAATATGCAGCTAACTCTTCTCTTTGTATGCTGTTTGGTTTTATTTGTGGGGCTAACTGAGCAATGTAGCTATTACTGTCTGCATCACTTCTTTTTCCCTCTGTTCTCTTCTTTCCCCAAGTCTAGGTTACTCTAATCTTAGCTTTGCACTGTGTTCCAGATGCGGCAGGCCAGAAGGCTGTCGAATCCTTGTATACAGAGGTATACATCAAGAACTGGTGAATGCAGCACGTATGTGGGCTCTCATGTAAACTTGCCTTCTTAACAGAGGGCTAGGACTAGAGACTAATTTGCACTATAAAAAACCCCACTAAAAATCATGCTACCTGTTGTCATTACCATTACTGAAAACTAACTCATCAATAATATCATTCGCTTACAGGTTTGCACTGTTTTGTCTTCCTTTGAAAATGATTGGAAATGAAAAGTGGCAAAACCACGTACTTACCCTTCCAAGTAGACTGAATACTTAAACCTAAGTTGTGTGATGTCACTCTAATAGGAAAGTATTAAAGCTAATTTGCATGAGAGTTCATATTTCCATTTTACTTTACATGTGTTTTGGAACTGCGCAAAAAGCAAGGTCGAATTTAAGCTACCCACAGACTAATGCAGATGAGCGCACACAGCACATGCACCTTGTAGCTCCAGCATTTGGAAGGGCCATAGTGTAGCCTGATTTGCATGGCTTATAAGTCTCTGCATGCAATTATTAGTTCAAATGTAGAAGCATTATAATGTCTAATCTATACACTGTTCAAAGCAGAACACCTTGGGCACAGTCTCTTAGCTGTGAAATTACAGCCAGTGTGGGTAATAAAATCTGAGTATCCTTCACAGCAGTTTAGCAAAAAGTCATAAAGATCTTGTGCTAATATCCCTTTTGCCTTATTGGTTGAAGTAAAATCAGTAATAATAAGAAGAATTGTGGGTAAATCACTGAATCGGATGTTCTCCTAAAGGAACTGTTTTTATGTAAGTGGAGTATCAAGTCAGGTATGAAACAAGAAAATAGAAATAATGTGGAATATTTTAGCGAAACTGAACACAAAACCAAACTCCAAAACAAGTTGCACAGCTTCACCCAATAGTATTAGGTCACTTATAAATACAAAAATGCAGGAGTACTTGGCAAATCCATTCTGATTAAATTTATGAATTTATGTCCTAGCGTTCTAGAAGACACTCAAAACCTACTGTGAAAAATGTCTTTCATTTAGGATGTATATTTGCATCTTGGACACACGTCTGTGATGGGTTGTTTTGCTAACAAATGTGCTTGAGAAGTGACTTGATTTGCATATGCACATGGGTTGGCAGATTCCTTTAGTTCATGGACTAACACTGGTGGTGGCAGAAGTGGCAGCAGCTGCAGCTCCTCATGCACACACAGTGATGTGTTCACTGCTCCATCACACAGCATTTGGATCATAGCATTTAAAATTATATCCAGCACTGTTTTGAGACATCCTTACAGAACTGATGGATGCAGTGCAGAACCTGAGGAACCTCTGGAGATACAGGGTCAGGCAGGATGTCCTAGGACATGTGAAATGGCACTCTGTGCCTGTGCTTTAGGCAACTAAATCATTCCTAGGTAGTCTGGGACTTGTTTCCATCAGTAAGTAGATGGTGGAAGATTATTTTCAGAGTTATGCAAAGGTCAACAGAATGGCAGCTAATGATCATAAACACAAGACAATAACTTCACAACTGGAAGGAATAGCTTAAAGATCAATTTCTTTTCTAGGTCCATTAATTTTGGAAATGGTTATGTAGTCTTAATAGCATAAAATAGTTACTATTTTTGTTTAGTCCCTGGAAGAAACTGGGGAGATTGGTACCCCAAGAATGGGATCAGTAAAACATGCATTATTTCAGGTTTAGGATATGAGTGCTTGATTTCTATGAATAGGTTTGAATACAGTTTTCTCTTGGAAAGATGTCACTCGCAGTGGCCTTCAGAGTGTGCATCTCCAGGAGGTTACTTAACATTTAGGGAGTTCTTAACATGATGTATTAAGAAGTTCTTCCCTGTGAGGATGGTGAGACACTGGCACGGGTTGCCCAGGGAGGCTGTGGCTGCCCCAACCCTGGCAGTGTTCACAGCCAGGTTGGCTAAAGCCTTGAGCAACCTGCTCTGGTGGGAGGTGTCCCTGCCCAGGGCAGGGGTTGGGGCTGGATGATCTCTAAGCTCCATTCCAACCCCTTCACATACTATGATCTTAGTAAAACAAGGAGCCTCAATTTGCGGGGCTATGTTACAGAGTCTAGAGAGCTGCTGAGCTTGATTTGAGACAATAAAAGTTTTTTGAATGAAAAACTGATGTTGCTGTCACACCCTGCTCTAAGCTCACAGTTAGCCACACACCACCTCGAGAAAGCACCTGCCTCCTGCTGCTGTGGCTGATGCTTTGCTTCGTGTGTTTTCTGTCTCGATGTTGGTTGTTTTGGTTTTTTTTGCCTGAGAGTGAAATCTGAAACTGCATCTTTCCAACACACCGTCAGTGACTCCATCTGACACTTTCTCCTTTTTCCAGGAGCATACCGAGTCTTCTTCCGAACCCAACCATGCTGTCCGTCCTGCCGGCCCAGCCCCAGCCCCCTCACATTCCACAGCCACTCACAGCAGCCCTCTGGTCCCAAACCCTCACGCCAAACACGCTGCCTTGGAGAAGCGAGGATTTCACGAGTCTTTTACCAAGGCCAAGCCAGGGAGCTACAAGATCCAGGTTGTCTCTCCAAGAGAATCAGCTTCCAAAGTGACTGAACGGGGCCCTTGGGAACCCCAGAGTAAAAATGGCACTCAGGAACAGGATCCTGGCCTTGTGGATCTGGATGATGCAAGCCTTCCAGTTAGTGATGTGTAGTGGTGGAAGTGTTTGGAGAAATGATCCATTTGTTGTTCGGTCCTCTAATTTCCTTGCTTGGACTTTTAACCAAAGAAAATGATAGGAAATGAGAACAAGAAACCGGAACACTGATGTTATATATATATATGTGTGTGTGTGTGTGTCTGTACACACATGTGTATATATAATGTGTTTGTATATTGCCTTTCAGCTGAGGGTCAGGAATGGACCTTAGGCATTTTCTCAAAGCCTGATAGTAAATCCCTTACTAGGGAGGGGCCAAACTGCACAATTTAGGAAAGAAAACCCCAACCCAAAACACAAAGCAAAAAGTACTTCTGCAAGTAAGCAAGGTACCAGCAATTTTTAATCCCTAATCTGGCAAATTTACTACATTTGCAACTAATGCTATATTGTGGAGAACTTGTTGCCAACAAATGTGATTATTTAATTTCACCTTGAACTACAGTAAGATTTTAGGCATAGATGAGAATTGTTTCTCTTTCAGATACCAGGAAATGCACAAAATGTTTCTTCTGTTCTTTAGGATCAACAGTGTCAACTGATTTGTTATCAGAACAAGAATTCTGAACTCCCTTGGAATTCTAGTTATGGTGCTGTAAAAATTTCCACTAAAATAATATTTTGACTAGTCAGCCTATTTTTGATGCACTCCTAAAGGTGGGTTATAACCTTTTGCACATTTGGGTTTTAATGGACTGCATGTAGTGTTGTTTTGGAGTGGGGGGAGAAGAGAAATTGGACTTTGGAGTTTGGACACTTTAGATCTTTTTGAACCAAGCAGGGTTTGTGTTGTGTTACATTAGGCTTTGCAGCAATTACGTTTTCGTAAATGTCTAAACGTATCGTTTGGTTACTCTTCTGGGAATGTTTCCTTAGCAGTGCTTTGTGGGCAGTTCTTGTTTCTGTAGGATCAGTGGAAGACCTCGTTGTTGTGTCGTTATTGGTACTGAACTGTTCCTCGTCTTGCAATTGTGGCCTATAACTTTTGGTGCACTAATGATCTGAAGTGCCTGTGTTTTTTCTCACCTTGTTGAAACACTTTTGAGTTAGTTGTGTACACAAACCATTCTCGAATGGTTTTGAACATTGGCTTGGAGTTGCTCTGGATAGCATAGTTCAAAACAACCATTTTAAAGCAAGAAACTTAGCTAGGGATACCAGTGTTCTGGTATTGCACCCACTGGCTGTGCAATATATTTTTAACAAGTGAGTGTTTGTTGTTTGTGTACACTGTGTTATGGGGTGTCGGCGATGCCAATGAGGAGAACCTTTACATTTCAAATGTTGGATTAGTTAGTGTGTCCTTTTCCTCATGACTGAAAACAATGTTTGCTTTAATCCAAACCCCTCAAGTATCTCATGCTGCTGCTTACTGTGACTCAGATTGTCCAGCTTTGCAATACCTTTCTTTGTCTGCTGGAACCTAAGATACATATCATTTAAGTCCATCTTCTCTCCAACTTCCAAACTGACTTCCTGCTTGAGAGATATGGATGACTTTACCACAACAATTTGTTGATCCCAGGATAGAATAATTGGTGTTGTGTAAGAATAAAATAGAATTAATTTCAAAACCTTAAATTATATCAGCACCTTCTTTTGTTTTTGTTGTTTATCCATAAGCTAACTAACCACTGTCTCAGGGCAGTGGTGTCTGTAAATTACTGGTTTTGTTTGACTCTCTAGATATATGTGAAAACTAGCACAGAATTGGAAGTTACTGTAAATGTCTGTACTAGTATTGTAGGTTTTAACTTCTATAAAGATAAACCAATAGCTCTTAAAAAGCTTATTTTTTCACAAGTACATTCTGTGTGGAAGACACTTTGCATTGGAATATTTTTACTGTAGTCTTAACATCTGAAATCACTTGCTCTGGTACAGCTTTCACAATGCATGGTCATTTTATTATATTTTGGTATTGGTAATTTTACACATTGGGTGGAGGTAAAGCAGCTCCATTATGGGACTTAAAAAAAAGAAAAAGAGGGAAAAAGAGAAAAAAGAAAAGAACTACTGTTGTAGTTCGGTAGCATAGGAAAATATTTGTGGTTGGTAATTGTCAGGGTCTCCTATTTATCAGTACTTTTATAAATCTATGAAAATTGTTAAATTATTTTAGAAACAGTGCTGTAAATATGTCACATTTAAATTGTCAATAAATCAGTTTGGGTAACTTGACATCTGGCTGAGTTTCTTTCCACCTCATTAAACGTTTGATCAGAACAGTGTATTCCTTTTCAGCAGGTAAGACATCAGATTCTCTTTTATCCAGCTATAACATATTTTTAATCCTCCAAATCTGATAAGGTTGTGTCGCCTAAGAAGGAAGTTGGACAGAATGAGCTGATTTTCTGGCTGTTCTCAGTGTCTTCTGTGGAAGCTTTGCATGTTACAGAATGGATATTGATCAGGTCGCTTCTGCATCAAATGAAGTGAAGAGATGACACATAGTAATGTCAAGTGAACCATTTGGAAACACTCAGGCACCATCTGAAATGGGGAAAAAAAACACCTCAGGAGAACAAAATGTAACATACTTTCTGCTGGCTTTATATGTTGCAGAAGAAAGGTTCTCTCTCAGAAATGCTTTCCTGAAATACAGGCTGAACACAGCTCTCCAAATTCCAGTTTGACTGCAACACCTTTTGACTGTGAACAATGTCCCTTTACTGAAGAGGGAATCGAGTTATTCTGTATGGTTATAGCTTTAAACCCACTTTGTTCAAATACAAAGTTGACAGAAATTGTAACTGCTAACTCTGCAGTCTGAGGGCACCTGCCAAAGGGAAATGCTCCAGAATATAGGTTAATGAAGTGGTATATGCCTTAACCTCGTGGAATAACAGTATGTCAGCACCACCTAGGGGTCATGCTCTAGCTGCAAAAATCATTCAAGTCTGGCATTTGCTTCTAAAGTGTATTTCAGAGTCTTAAAATCGATCTGCAAACTCCAGTTGATAAATCGCTGAGCTGCTCCAGGTTGGGCATTTGGGTGTGCTTGGTTGGTTTTTTTTGATTCTTGCCCCTTGTAAGCTTTGAATAGCAATGGCAGCAAATGGATTGAAGACAAAGGTTTAGATGTACAGAAGAAATTCTTCCCTGTGAGGGGTGTGAGGCACTGGCACAGGTTGCCCAGTGCAGCTGTGGCTGCTCCATCCCTGGGAGTGTTCCAGGCCAGGTTGGATGGGGCTTGGGGCAACCAGGGCTGGTGGAAGGTGTCCCTGCCCATGGAATGGGGTGGGACTAGATGACCTTTAATGTCCCTTTCAACCCAAACCATTCTGTGACTCCATAATCAGAAGGACCTTTAAAACCTCTCATCTGAGCACAATCTCCTCAACTATAGGACTGGGGAAGAAGCCTCTGCTGCTTTCAGTAGGCAAAGTAATGCGACACAAGGTAGGAGTTTGGAGGTAGACCAGAGCAACTGGGGCTGCAGGTTGAAGGAGGACAGTTAGCCAGTTTGAAACCACATTCTTTACAAACTGAGGTGCCATTTTAGTAGTTTTACTTTTTGACTTTGAGGTTTTGCAATTGCATAAATGGATTTAGGAGTCAAAATTCTTTACAGAAATAGCAGTGCATATAGCGTCACTGAGTATCTCCTGTCAAAAAAAATGTCTGTATTGGTAGAAAATGGTGATATTCAAAGGCTAATGCTTTTAGGTTTTTACTGAGGCTGTATTATAATGGATGGAGAAATTATTGTGCACATCTAAAATGTGCACTCTGAAGATGTGTGACAGAAATATTATTGTTCTTCTAAAGATTCCATATTAAGTAGAGGTGGGAGAGAGGAAAGACATGAAAGAAAGGGAAATAGGGATAGGAATTTTAGTCTAGAAGTTGAAATTAAAAACTTGAAGCCTTCTGTGCTACATATAGTTTTACCTTTTATCAGTTTTATTTTATGTCTCAACGTCCATCTGTATTTTGGAGAACAGCTTATATAACTATTTGATGCTCCAAGCCAGCAAACTGCGAGAGTCCTTCTGAGACCATCCAGGGAAATACTGAAGGCTGCTCTGGAAAAGTTAAACCTGAGTCCTGCTCTGTCAGGGAATCATGTTCCACACGTCTGCCTGGATTTTTCCCTTCAGATTGTCTGTGTAACCTCCGAGGAAAAGAAGCTGGTACTCATTTGTAAAGGTGTAGTAGTCGTTGAATACTGCTCTTCAAAGTGGCACCTTTGACACTGTAATTAGGGATTTGCATTTAAAACGAGTGCAGTTTTGCATATCAATATGCACAGTGAACACATCTTTGAAGAATTCAAACCACTCTGTTGCACTGCATTCCTGTTGCCCCTGGTCTCCTAATGGTAACCAGGCACTTGGGGACTCCTGAGTCATGTCTGTTCCCAACAGGTGGGGTCAGCTGCAAGTTTTCATAGCGGTGAGTTTGGTTTCGGTAAGTTAATCATGAAGTTTCAACACTTTTGTTTTACAGTCTGTAGCGTAATACTTGCACTGCTGCTTGTAGTTTTGCCCTCTGACAGCAAGGAAATGCCACCTGAACACAAATACATGCTGAGTTTGTGCAGACTAGCCCTTGTTTCTCGTGGGGCAGGTAGCCTGATGCTTTTGAGGCTTTACAAAGGTCACCCTGATGGCTCATTTCTTTTGTAAGCTATGCCAACAGCTGTGCTTGTCAAGCACCAGGACTAGATCACATCTGGAAAAGAAGATGGAGTTTTCCATTCCCTGCTTTGCAGCCACTCTATGTCAAAAGTAATGCTATTTTTTTCTGTATGTAGCAATGAATCCAGCATATGTTTCTTAAATGTGTTGGGTTTTTTCCTTTAAGTAAGACTTCTCTTGTTATGTTAAACAAAGTAGAGAAGCCCTGGTTTTTTGGGAGGTGGCAGTAGGGATGTTACATTTTTCCCCCAGAAAACCTGGGAGAAAGCCAGGCATGAAGCAAAATGATAACCCAGACATAATAAACCTAGAAATGCTTTCTGCAAAGTTCAAGCTGTTGGAGTTTGCTCAGACAAGGCATTCCAGGCTTTCAGACCTCTCCCAGCCTCTCTTCTGGCCAGGACACTTTTAACCCCAGACTGTCACATTAACCCCTTTCTCTCCATCCAAGTG